GAATACCATTGAACAAGATCATCTGCATGAAGTAAGCACTTGATGTCCGTGACTGTCTGTACTAATTCGGCTTTGTCATTGATAATGACATTGAAAAGAGTGCAGCTTGTGACAGCTCCCTGTGGAAGACCTGTTTGTAAAAGATTGGATTTTGATAAAGCATGTCCATATCTGACTTTTCATGATCTTTGTCCAATGAATGCTTTTATCCAGTTTAGTATGTTATGCTTAATACCAATCTTTGCCAATTTTAGAATTAGCTTCTCTTTCCAAATTAAGTCATATGCTGATTTGAAATCGACAAAAACAGCCGTAAGAGTATTTCTTGCATCAAGGGCATCTTTGATGTGTTGGGAGAAAGTGGCTACTAGTTGATTTGTTGATCTTTGTGGCCTAAAACCTGCTTGTTCACTCCTAAGAATATTGTTAGTCTCAAGAAACCAGGTCAGGCTCCTGTTAACCATTCTTTCCATAAGTTTAGCCAGCACGCTTGTGAGGGAGATAGGCCTATAGTTGTCAAAGTTGCTAGGGTCTTTGCCCTTTTTTAGTACTGGCATTACTATGGCAATTTTCCATAGGTTAGGTACGAGACCGGACTCCCAGATTTTGTTGAAAAGCGTCAGCATGGTTTCCTTGGCTTTTGGTCCCATTCTAATTACAAATTCCGGATGAATACCGTCTTCGCCAGGAGACTTTTTGCACTTTAAATGTTTATCGCAGCATTAAGTTCGCAAGGTCTGAATGGTTCAGTAAGTACATTATTTGGTGTTGCTATGTCTTCCTTAATTTCATCCAACTATCTTACTTGTATCTTTGAATCTCTTGAAGATTTTCTGACCAAAGGGTTTTTCTTTTGCTTGTGGGAATAGAACCTCGCAAAGCAGTTAGCTATTTCGGTGTCGGTGGTAAGCAGTTTGTTTTTAAACGTTTTGGTTCTTTTTTGGGTTTTTCCCTGTTGTTTTGGGGGTTACTTAGGAATTCGAAAGTGCGTTGGTTATCACTTTGATAGGTGATGAACTTGTCGAAGGAAGTTCGTTTAGCTTGTAAGATTGGATGAAGTTGTCGAAGGAAGTCCGTTTAGCTTGTAAGATGTCTTGTCTTAGGACAACTGATTGCCGGCTCCAGGGTTGTACGCCTTCCATTCTTCCAGTCTGATCAGCAGTGTTGCGAAGGGAGTTCCGATTTCTTTTCAGTTCCTCAAGGTGTTTAGACCAAAACACTCGATAGTTATTAGCCTTGCCTCTGGGAATAGTTTTCTTTGCAAATCTGATCATAATATTCTTGATATCGTTGCAAAGTTTGCCAGGATGTTGGTTGAAGTTGAGGGGACTTGTGTGTAGTTCAGTGTCTAAAAGGTTTGTGAATCAAGGCCAGTCAGCCTTCTTGAAGTTCCATGATAGCTTAGTTGACACTTTCCATGTCATGCTTTTGCTGCTGATGGTAATACTAGCAATGACTGGTTTGTGACCAGAACCAAGACCGTAAATTATTTTGCGGCGTGTATGCCCGCTGATGTCGCCTGAAGCCAGGAGCAAGTCAGGAGTTGTTCTGGTTCCATTGTAGTGCAAATATGTAGCCGGATCCTCATTGCTGTAAATAAGTTCCAGAATGTTGCCGGATCCTCATTGCTGTAAATAAGTTCCAGAGGGTTGCTGCTTAGCTGTTCTGGTTCCATTGTAGTGCAAATATGTAGCGGGATCCCTGTTCGCCGGATCCTTTTGCTATAAATAAGTTCCAGAGTGTTGCTGTTTAGCATGTTAGTACCAGAGGGTTGCTGTTTAGCAAGTCTTCAATTTCCTCTCCAACAATGTTATCCTTGTAGCCCCATCTGGTGGAGTGGGCGTTGGAAGTCTTCTAATACTACAGTTTTGTGTGAGATGTTCAGAGAAGTCTCCTAATACTATAGTTTTGTGTAAGATGTTCAGAATAGTCCTAATACTAGCCCATCGGGTGGAATGGGCGTTGAAGTCTCCTAATACTACTTTTGTGTGGAGTGGGCGTTGGTTCAGAAAGTCAAAGTTGGGACAATTCTGGGGTGGATTACAAGAAAGTCAAAGTTGGGACAATTCTGAGGTGGATTATAGATTAAGTCTCCTAATACTATAGTTTTGTGTAAGATGTTCAGAATAGGTATCCTTGTAGCCCCATCTGGTGGAATGGACGTTGAAGTTTCCTAATACTGTTTCGTATAAATAAGTTCCAGAATGTTGCTGTTTACCTGTTCTGGTTCCATTGTAGTGCAAATATGTAGCGGGATCCCTGTTCGCCGGATCCTTATTGCTGTAAATAAGTTCCAGAGGGTTGCTGTTTAGCATGATTTGTAAATAAGTTCCAGAGGGTTGCTGTTTAGCATGTCTTCCTTCCAGCTATGTTTGTATCCTTGTAGCCAATCGGGTGGAATGGGCGTTGAAGTCTCCTAATACTACTTTTGTGTGGAATGGGCGTTGAAGTCTCCTAATACTACAGTTTTGTGTAAGATGTTCAGAAAGTCAACTAATACTATGGTTTTGTGTGAGATGTTCAGAAAGTCAAAGTGTCTTGAAGTTTTGTGTGAGATGTTCAGAAAGTCAAAGTTGGGACGGGGAGGATTATAGACTGCATATATCTTGAAGCGGTTTTGCATTCACATTTAATCTGATTATTTCACATATGTCTTGTGTCAAGCTTATTCTCTTGATTAGATCGTAACGTGATGTGAGGCCTTCTTTTACTCCAGTTAGAATTCCGCTTGCAACATGCCGGTATTTAGGTAGAAGGTACAGAGTATAACCTGGGAATTGGTAGTACTTCAGTTTGTCATCCGAAATGTTTGCTTCCATAATTGTGAAAATGTCTCCATCATAGGTATGTTTGCTTCCATAATTGTGAAAATGTCTACATCATAGGCTTGCAGGATTTTCTGTACTTGGATATTTTTGTCCTGTGCTATCCCTCCAGCATTCCACTGGAGGATCTGTAGACGTTGTGATTGGCAGCATTCCACTGGAGGATCTGAAGACATTGTGATTCGCCCCTTCCACTGGAGGATCTGAAGACGTTGTGATTCACCCTGACAAGGATCTGTAGACGTTGTGATTCGCCCTGACGAGGGCGATTTCTCTTATCGCCTTGTTTCAAGCTAATCACAATAAATAGAAGTCAAATCAACTGCCGAGTGATAGACTTTTTGCCGTACGAAGATACGTTGTCTATCGCGCACCCGAGTTCTATTAATTAAGACATATAATCTAACTTTGGAATCCTAACAAATGAAGTTTATCTAACTAAATATGAAGCAAACCTTTGATGACTCACAAAAATACTCATTCTTTTTCTGTAAGCTGCCTAAACTCGACATGACGTAACTATGCGATTAAAATATTTGCTGGGGGTGGGTGACTGAATATGTGCTTTACTATTTTCGAATGCCTTTAGTATTTCAACGAATCATAACACTTGTAGTGCGCTATATATTAATCCAAATTCCTCACCATTCACTGCGTTTTAAGAGAAAGGATGGATGAAGCTTTAATGGGGCCTTGATCGTGCAAAATCACAAATTTAGGGTAAGACAAATAATTCATGCCATTGCTTTAGATATTATTAATGGCAAGAATTGTGGACACTGAAGCTCCATAATTTGTTCCTTTTCTATAATTTTAGAAGCGAAGTAAAAGGGAAAAACACGAATGAACACGTAACACGTAAGCATACCTGGTGTGTAAATACAAAATTTCATTACCCGGTCAAGTATACATTAGGTCTCCCTCTATCACAATTTCAAAGGAAATTAATAAGCATAAAAGTACACGCAATCTGAAATAGAAAGATTTTTCCTCTCTGTCGTAAGGGAATATAAAATCCGAGTGGCGTGCTGTGTGCGTCATCGTATACCTGCATGTCTGCTCGCCAGGATTGGGAGGTGCGGCTGTTCAACTCTGTGTGCAGCGACCGTACAAACAGTGACCAATCATTAACCTCTGTTTAACCTAATCCCCCATCCTGATCACGAGTAGCTCCCCGCGTGTACATTTTATTCGGAATACCCGTACTGGATAAACGTGCTCTACTTGATCCGCAAGATACGTCCTGAATAAACGTGCTCCGTGCACACTTTTCTGATCATTACGTGACTGAATATACGTGTTCCGAATTATCGTCTGTTTCCTTTATAGCTGGGCTATAGCTTAGCTAGTTTCGGTCTGTTTCCTTTATAGCTGGGCTATAGCTTAGCTGGTTCGATAGCTTAGCTTGTTCTGGGAGTCTAGCTAGATGTTGGAGAATTCTCCGTGCTACTCGTCTGTTTCCTTTATAGCTGGGCTATGGTTTAGCTGGTTCTGGGAGTCTAGCTAGATGTAGGAGAATCTCCCTGGTTCTGGGAGTCTAGCTAGACGTTGGAGAATCTGCCGTTCTGGGAGTCTAGCTAGATGTAGGAGAATCTGCCACAGATATAAACGCGCTCCGTGCTACACGTCTGTTTTCTTTATAGCTGAGCTATAGCTTAGCTGTTCTCTAGCTAGAGGTTGGAGAATCTGCCATAGAGATTTCTGATTCCTAGCTAGATGTTGGAGAATCTGCCATAGAAATTTCTGAGCCGGTAGCTAGATGTTTGAGAATCTGCCATGGAGATTTCTGAGTCGGTCTAGATGTAGGAGAATCTGCCAAAGAGATTTCTGAGTCAGAAGAATCTGCCATAGAGATTTCTGAGCCAGTCAGGCTTTACTAAGGTAGCAGTCCGCTACAAGTGAAAAAAAACTAGCGTTCATTTATTGATGCCAAAGAAATTTATTTTCGAAGAGCGAATTCTCAGGAAATCGGTAATTATTTTCATATTTTCTCTTCCCGAATTACTAAGGTGACTGTAATTAGGTTTGAAACATCCAATTGTTTAAATAACCAGGGCAACTTATCAGTGTGTAAGTATTAGGAAGACTATCAACCCTCAATAGAATTTAAGCCGTTGTTGGGTAAATAAACCTTCTCCCTTATTATTTACTTGCTGTATTAACACCCTTAAAAGCCGCTTATTTTAAATAACTGCAGGCAATCCTACGCCTAATCTTTCTCAACCAGGTTTCGGCCTAATTTATTAGCTTCAGTTTCAATAATCATGCCTTCCACGGTACCTTATGGTCAGCAGCTTTCCCCTGTAACTCATTAAATGATATTTGGGCTGCTAGATACCTGCTTTTTAAAAGCATCGGACATGATAATAGATAGTCGATTGCATACCACCACTTGTTGTCTAAATATGTGAATTAAAACCAAGCAATAAACATGCAAAAATATATTGGAGGTTTGACGTAACTGTCACCTTATGAAAAGATACTTGTCAATGAGCTAGATATTTTATCAACAGATTGAAATGGCTTTCCTGTTCTACTTCGAGTGACTTAAATTGTTCGTTTTATACGCCCTCAAATCACAGTTAATTCTAGATCCTTATAACCACATCCGGCGGTCCTCTCCTTTGTCTGCCACAATTCAAGAATCCCAAAATTTTTCCAGTAACCCTTTATTTAAGTGCAATTATTCGAAAGTCGGGACACACTTCAACCGTGAAATTTATTGTAAATAAATTGAGGAATCATTTATAGTAGAGTGCTTACACGTACTGCAAGTTTTGCGCTGATGGAGCGGTGGTTAACGTGTTCCACTGTAAATTTAGATGTCGAGGTTACATGCCACACGAGGGGATAAGCCAACACCACTAGTTAAGACTGACAGAATCGTGTTGCTCACTGATGAAACTCCAAACTCAAGATAAGAATTAGCTTACATGAATAGACCTCATTGATGGCAATTATTACGCAATCGCTTTTTAACAATAAGCAGTCAATTAAAATACACCCTAGCTTTACCGAAATCCTACGATCGCATCCATGAAAAATGTCACCTGGAGAAATGCTCTATCCCAAAACTTTTTTAATGAAGCAAATCGAATCTTACATAAAACTTTATTAAAGTTTCGAAAAATGTCGATTTCGGATAGGTTTGTCAAGGGTAGAAATAAATTTTTCTTCTAAGACAAGTATTTTTAATTAAAATAACTATAAATATACAATGAAAATGTATCTGATAGCAAAAAGTTGACAGCTCTCCAAGATACCAGATATTCTATGGCGTTATGTACTCGAGCCCTAAATCCTCCCAAATGGCGACACAATGACCCTCCAGAGTGATAGGTCCATTGGGGAAAGTGATGAGAGCAATATTGCGATGGCAGAAGGATCGTTTGCCTGGGTCAATGTTACTGGGTGTCCATTGATGTATAACAGTACCCTCCACTCCCATTACACAAGACAATGGACAAGCAGATTGCGGCAAGCATTTAGAAAGGAGACTTTGCGAGGGCCATTCCAGCTTCATTAATCGGTTGTTCAATATCTGACTGGGATCCACAATCTGAAGAATGCGAAATGACAAACAATGCTTATTGAGGTATGCAAAGTTAGAGCTTTTAGTTTTATTAACTATGCTGTGATATGTGCTCCTAAAATAATACTATTTTCATCACCTCCAGAAGAAACAAATAGTCTGAAACGATCTTTCTAATCAGAAAACAGCCAACAAGCACAAAACATCACGAACAAGACACTTTGGCAGTAAGTCAAGGCGAGAATACACATTACTGAATAACTCCTATGCAAAAAAATAAGCTAAGCGAGGGCTCTCGATACTTTGACATTACTCCCAAGATTATTTTTGCACTCCTCTTCCTAACACTTAACCGATTTCAAATGCTTTCAAACGATGGAATATTCATATTTGCCTGCTTCGCTGAGCCTTATAATAACAGGCACATTGGGTAGATCCAGACAAGCGTAACCGAATTCTCACATTGTGTGTTTCCGACAGGATTTTTAACAGGAAAATCTCCATGTTCTAAAATCTATTCAAATAGGACAGTATTTAACTGAGAATAATTATCAATTCCAAGTAATCCTCTACCGATAGTGTAACTGCAAAGGAAGCTTATACAACCATGGCTTGGATCAGACGACAAGGGAGGACAAAAGAGAACATAGAGCGAAAATTCCAGTCTCTAAAAGAGTGAATTCACAACTAAGGAGATTCAAACAAAAACAGTGAAGCGCAAAGCTGAAAACCGTATTTGAATGATTAGGAATAAAGAAAGCAGTGCTCTTGCATTATCAACAAATGGGCCTGTCAACCACAAGGCACAATTCCAGACTTCTTTGAGTATTTAAGAGGTAATTACGACACCATATATTAGAAAGTGGGGTGCGCAATAGACTTACCTCCACGTGGTGCACCCTGAGCAACGTATACTCATACGACAAAAAAGTCTATTAATCGACAGTTGACTTCTGACTTCAAACTACCATGACCCCACTCTATGTCATATTCGACCCCCTCAACAGTACTTACCTTACCTTTTTCTCTACCATTGTGCCTGTCTGTCGCTTTTACATCAGTAAATCACTCTTCTGATACCGCTCTCGACTTTTGTGACTTTGATGTTCCTTCTCCTCTCTGTGAAGCCCAAAGTCAACTAAAGGGTTAATGATAACCATCATAAAGCCTG